CCCCATCCTATCTACTTAAATTTGTTCCTATTAGGTTAAAGCATAATTAGAATAACTGTAGTAACAAATTTACATTTGTATAGCATGTTACAGTTTATATTTTTTCTTTATATTAGATGCAACTACTGACTCTTTTCATATATCAGCTCACATCTCATTTAATATTTTCAAGACTTTTATGAGGTAGGAATTATTGCCATTTTAAATATAAGAAAACCAAACAGGTGCAGTGGCTCACGCTTGTAATCCCAACATTTGAAGAGGCCAAGGTGGGCAGATTACTTGAGCTCAGGAATTCAAGACCAGCCTGGACAACACAGAGAAACTTCATCTCTACAAAAAATGCAAAAATTAGCTGGCCATGGTGGCACATGTCTGTAATCTCAGCTACCTGGGAGGCTGAGGTAGGTGGATCAGTTGAGCCCAGGAGATTGAGACTGCAGTGAGGAGTGGTCACCCCACTGCACTCTAGCCTGGGCAACAGAGTGAGATCCTGTCTCAAAAGAAAAAAAAAATTAGAAAGGTCATCTCAGATCTCTTTCTGCCTCCACAGTTGTCAGATGATTTCTAGTAAATGTTTAAAGGGCAGACATTTTAAACCAGGTGTCCCCAAACTGCAGCCCGCGGGCTGCATGCGGCCCCCTGAGGCCATTTATCCAGCTCCCCGCCACACTTCAGGAAGGGGCACCTCTTTCATTGGTGGTCAGTGAGAGAAGCACAGTATGTGGCGGCCCTCCAAGGGTCTGAGGGACAGTGAACTGGCCCCCTGTGTAAAAAGTTTGGGGACGCCTGTTTTAAACTGTTCCAGAGCACAGAAAAAAGTGGAAAGTTTCCCAATCATTCTTAATCCCACCTTCATTTTGACACCAAAGCCATGCATGGATAGCAAACTTAAATGAAAACGTAAATATTAGATTCATCCTTTGTAATTACAGATGCAAAAATTTAACATATTTCTGTGAAAAACAAAGGAATATATGTAGTATAACCCCATCTGTAAAAGAAAAAACATTGTGAATAGAAACATGTATGTATGTATGGTGGAATATAAAAAAATAATACATAAATACACACAATAAATGCAAAGATACAGGTTTGGAAATACAAACCTCAAACTGTTAACAGTGGTCTCTCTAAGGTGGAAGTGGTCTCAGGAGTTAAGAAGAGGAAAAAGACAAAAAGTGAAGGGAGATTTTCAGCTTCTATTCTCTCTCTCTATATATACATATATACTATCCAAATAGTGGCTTCTAGGATCAGCTATGCCATTAAGAAGGTGGACTCACTCTGACTCTGTTTCCCGCTTGGAAATGTGGAAAGCAGACTTACCTTATTATGATACAAGAAAAGGAATTTACTTAAAAAAAGCATAATAAAATCTGATGAATATGTGGCAGTATGGCCACAAATACCTTATTCTTTGTTATTGTTTGATTTTTTATTTTTCTCTCACTTTGTCACTGATCAGCCAGACAATCACAAACATAATGTAACTTCTGTATGCCTCATTGAGTGCAGGAAATAGAGTCAGAAAACCCGAGTTTACATTCAGACCTTGTCTCTTAACTCTAAGGTTAAAAAAACAAGCAGATGATTAAACTTCTTTGCACTGTAGTTTCCTGGCAGTAAAATAGGACTAAACCGCCAGGCGCGGTGGCTCAAGCCTGTAATCCCAGCACTTTGGGAGGCCAAGGTGGGTGGATCACGAGGTCAAGAGATCGAGACCATCCTGGTCAACATGGTGAAACCACGTCTCTACTAAAAATGCAAAAAATCAGCTGGGTATGGTGGCACGTGCCTGTAATCCCAGCTACTGAGGAGGCTGAGGCAGGAGAATTGCCTGAACTCAGGAGGCAGAGGTTGCGGTGAGCCGAGATCGCACCATTGCACTCCAGCCTGGGTAACAAGAGCGAAACTCCGTCTCAAAAAAAAAAAAAAAAAAAAAAAAAAATAGGACTAAACCTACCTTACAGGATCATTTAAAGATTAAATTAGAAAATACATGTAAAAAACACAGAAACTACTATGAATCAGACATTTCTCCAAAGATGATATACAAATGGCCGATAAAAACATTAAAGGATGAAATAGAAATGAAAATCACAATGCGTTATCACTTCACAGCTGCTAGGATGGCTATTATCAAAAAGACAAACATTAACAAGTGTTGGCAAGGATGTGGAGAAAACTGAACCCTCATACATTGCTAGAAGAAATGTAAAACAGTGCAGCAGCTCTGGAAAACAGTCTGGCAGTTCCTCAACAACTTAAACAGAATTACCATATGACCTAGCAATTCCACACCGAGGTATACTACCCAAGAAAACTGAAAGCATATATAACACACAAAAATTTGTAAAACTTGTAAATGAGTATCCACAACATTATTCATTATTCATAACATGATTATGGCCAAAAAGTAGAAACAACCCAAATGCCCACAAATTGAAGAATGGATAAACAAATATGGCATAGCGTCATAGCCATATAACAAAATATTATTCTCTCCATAAAAGGAGTGAAATATTGATATATGGTATATGAATGAACCCTGAAAGCATTATGCTAAGTGAAAGATAAAAAGGCCACATGATTCCATTCACATGAAATGTCCAGAATAGGCAAACATATAGACACATAAAGTAGTGGTTGTCAAATACGGGGAGAATACCAATAAAGGTACAAGTCTCTTTTTAGTTCCTGAATTAGTGTTGACATTTGCACAATTTTGTGAATATACCAAAACCACTGAATTGTATACTTTAAAAAAGTTAATTCCATGGCATATGAATTATATCTCAAAGAAAACTATTATAAAAATTTAAGCCTCTGCTATTTTTCTTTTTTCTTTTCTTTTCTTTTTTTTTTTTTTTTTTTTGAGATAAGGTCTTGCTCTGTCACCCAGGACAGAATGCAGTTGCCCAATCACAGCTCACTTTTCTGCTTCCTACTTATTAGTAAATATTCTACTTTACTCAAGAGGTTGCTCCTGTTGCTTGTAACAGCTTTAAAAGATCTTTGAAGTTAGGTACTATACAGATGAATGGTATTTATAGTAAAGTAAAGCTACTATAACAGAGAAACTTTCTACAAATCAGATTAGTTTGGTACAATTTCATTTTTTCAAAGAAATGTCATTAATGCCAAGTTCAATTTTAGAGAGTGGAAAAGCTTACTTCTTTTTTAAAGGCCAAAATGCTATATTTTGCTTTTTTAATTAGTGGACATTTCATTTTCAGATACATCATTAGCAAGATTACCTGTTTAAAATGTCATTAAATGCCTAGCAATCAATTAAAACCCAGGTAGGTGCAACTTTGTGACCTCTAATTACAACTTCCTATTTTCCTCATTCTGTTGTCAGATTCCTAGTCCATCATTAGCTCCAATCTCTTACATGAATTATTCCATTCGATTCTTACTCACAGGGACTAAACTTTTTGGTAAATGCAATCCATTTTTCTAATGCTGGGGAACTTTAATTAGAGTAGGCCCAATTTTTAAGGTTAAATTTGGTCTAGAATGTTTGAATAAATATTCAACAAAATGATTTCCTGGAATTTGGAACATAAAAACAGCCTTAGAATTATGAAATGCTTTCTGGGTCCTTTGGGAATTTTTTCACGTATTTATTCATGGGGCAACGACAGTGACCAACTTTTACCCAGAAAAGTACTACGTATAAAAGCTTCCTGGTTCTAGAACAAAGACGTATTTTATTGCTCAAAGCTAAAGGAAGATACCTTCCTTCTATTTAGTATTGTTACACTAAAATAGCATACTAATGAAACTAGCTAGGTATTGGCATGACCCAAAGTACGTAAACAAAGATAAACTGTACCTTATTATGCATTCTTTCTTGGGGGAAAAATTCTCACACTAAGAAAATAAGATTTAGTCAGCCGAAAAAGAAAAAACAAAAACATGTATGTGTGTTTGTGTATGTATGTATGTATGTGTAAGGATTAGGATTTTCCAACATGGGGGCATTTTGAGTAGCAGTTTAAATTTGATGGCTTGCCAAGCTATGCGGGGATACATGGTGGGCATGCTTGACACCGGCAAAACGTGAAGCAAGAGACGACCTGTCAAACAGCTGCTAACCAGTTACTCCCTCGGCAACACTCCCAACTTCTCCCGTGATGTCTGTGTACGAAAGATGTCAAAGCACCAGGAAAACGACGGGGGCTGTCACAGCAACAGCCAAGTCCAAACCCTGCACCCCAGGGTGAAATCCCACCCGTACCTTCAAGAACTGGTCGGACCACGGCTCTTTTCTAATACGAGTCTACCTAAAATAGAAAAATGAACACACCACCACGGACCCTGCCAACCCGCTCTCTCTTCTCCTTTGTGACTCTCCTAAAGGTTGGAGGGATGTTAACCCCCCGCAGGCCCGTGGAAGCCAAGCCCTGCGCGCCGAGGCGGCGTCCAGGAGCCTCGGCACAGCCCTGGGGCCTCGAGCCCGTGTCCCCCACCCACCCGACAGGGCCGGTCACCGGCCACACAAAGGAGCCAGCCGCGGGCGCTGGACGCGGGGACTCGCCCCGGAGCCGGGCGCCACATCTGGTCCCTGCAAGCTGGCAGTAGAGACCCGACGGAAAATAAGGATTAACGCCCAAACCTGTTGCACAATTCGGGTCCCTTTCACCCAGAAATGAACAAGGGCGCTCAGGAGCGGAGAAGCGCGCGGCCCGGTCTCTGCGAGCCGCGGCCGCACCCGGCAGGCGGCGCGGAGGCAAAGGCGGCCCGCGGGGCTCCCACCTCCGGCGCTTTGTCTGAGGCGGCGGGGGCGGCGGGGGTGCTGGGAGCGGCGCGGGTGGCGGGGCGGGGGCCCCTCTTTCACTGCGCAGCCCCGCGGCTAGGCGGCCCGCGCTGGGGAAGAAAGCCGGGCCCGCTACCGCCGCCGCCGCCAGTACCGGCCCACGCCGGCCACCCGGCTCGGGGCCTGAGCGCTCCTCCCGCCCGGGCCGTCGGGGCCGAGCGGCGGCCACACTCACCTGGCTGGCGCTCGAGCTAGCGGCCGGCGGCTCCGGGGCGTTGGGGAGGACAGGGGAACGCTAGCGAGGTGCGGGCGGAGGCGGAGGGCGCGGCGGGAGGAAGGCGGGCTGGGGGCGGAGCGGGCCCGGGCGGCGGCGGCGGCGGCGACTCCAGTCACTCGTGGCAAATCGCGTCCCGGCCCCTCCGTGCGTCAGGCGGGGGGCGGCGGTGCGGGGGGCCCGGCGACCTCTCGGCACCCGCGGCCGGAGCCGCGTCCGCGCGACCCCGCGCGCGCCCGGGTGACGGCGGCACAGCGACCCAGCCCGGCTCGGAAGGGGGAAAGGGGGATGGGGGAAGGGGGCGGGGCGGGGCGGGGCGTCCCACCAGGCCCGGGGCCGAGGGCTGGGCGCCGGGGGCACTCTAGTGCTCCCAGCTGGACCCTGCCTTCCCCACCTCTCGCCGAGGCCCGGGTTCCCCAGGTGGGAGGCAGTCTGGAGGAGTGGCAGGTCTCCAGACCTGAAGGCAGAAGTCTGGGCTTAAGGGAGGAATCTTTGCAAGTCATTTATTTCCTCTGACCTCATCCTGTAGTTCGAAGGTTCGATTACAAGGTCTCTGCTCCCAAGTACCCACTGCCAAGCGGTGCTGTGACTGAAGGATGAAGGCAGATGAAGGGGAAAGGGTGCGGTGAGAAAGGGCTGGATTTAGGGCACTTGTTTTGCTTTGAGGATCTTTCCATTGGACAGTCCAAAATTAATCCACAAATGGGGCTCCCTAATAATAGCTACTTCTCCATTTTTACCAACCTAGTTATATTTCTCTAAATATACTGAATTCAGAGTCCTCGTTCTCATTTTATTGCAAATCATTTTTGTGTCATTTCCTGAATTCAGTTCAAAAGAGTCATCAGCAAATTCACACCAGATCAGAGCAGCTGTGTGGTCCCAATCTCAAGACTTCCATGGTATTCACTCTGCCACTCACTTCAGTATCACCTAATTCTGTTGATAAAATCTTGCCATTCCAACAACTAAGCAACCAAATTTCTCTCCACTAAAGTTTTCTGACTTAAAATCCATAGATAAATTCTTACTCTTTAATTCTGTGAATAACAGTCTTGTCTCCGTGACTTAAACCTCTTTGCCTCTTTGCCACTCTTTAGGTCAAGCCTTTAATTTCACTTCTGTTTCAGTTCCTTATAACTGCCAGAGAGAGTGCTCCAAAAAGACGGAGCTCAGCATGAAACGCACCTCTTTAAAAATCATTCAATCACTCCACCTGGTTAAATCAGGTTCAAACTCATTACCATGGTATACAAAGCCATTTAAAATCTAATCTCTTGACCTCCTTGGCTCCCGCTCCAACTCCTAATATATCTACATATCACACAAATTCAACAGGGTTTGTCTCTGTGCCCTTGTAGTTTTCACCACCTGAAATCCATTCCTCATCTAACCAGCTGAACTCCTATTATCCTCCAAGATAATGAAAATAGTGCATCACTCCCTCATTGAAATCTTCGTCATCACCTTTCACCACATCCGCATCCTTACCCCACACACAATGAACTAAATACTCTTTTTCTCTCTGCTTTCATAAAATCGTTTGTCTACAGTATTCCCTATGATAATCTTTAGTACTTGCTATTTTCCCCTTTGCTTTGCTTAGTGGCCTTTTCTTTCTAGACTGTTTGTCCTTAAAAGGAGAGGGATTTTGTCTGGTCCTTTTTTTGCTCCCCAGAACATAGCACAGTGCTTAGCACAAAGAAGGTTCTCTTTTACTGTTTGCTGAAGTGTTGAAATCATTTTCCATTCCAACAAATAGATGTTGAGCATCTACTCAACAAGAAGAAAATACAGTGAAATCCACAGTCCCTGCCTTTTTTAGCCTTCCATGGTATTCTGTTTTTTCTTTCTCAACTATGTGGCATTCTCTGCTTATCATTTTAAACTCTCCAACTACCACTGACATTCTTTGCTTACCTAATAAAACAAGAGCATGCCAAGCAATCCATTATAGGAATTCACAAAATATCCCTGCCCTTCCTCTTTCCATACCTTCTGGTTCCACATTGTATTTACCTAGCTGTTAGATGAGAGGTTACTGCTACAATGGATAAAAAAAATTAGACTGTAAATTCAGAGAAAGAAATTTGTATGCTACAGTTTCCAATAACTACTTAATGAACTTATCTCTCACTGACAGTCATGCGGCTTCACTTGTGGAGTTTCTTTGGCTCTATGATTAGCATTTGTTTTTAATATTTTGCTATAAAGGTACTAGATTCTTGCAAAGTAGCTATCCAGCATATGTTTAAACTCCAACCGATAGGAAACCATTCATGACCTCATAACAGTGTTCATCTTTAAACAGTCCTGCTAGTTCCTATGTTCAACTGAAATGTGTGTCTGTATACATTTGGTGGGTAGCTACCAGTATTGCTAGAAACACCACTGTACTCAAACTCCAAAGAAGTGTGGTCAAATCCTGGGTTTATGACTTCCTAACTGTGTGACCTTGAAAAAGCACGATTCTGCTCCAAGTATGAGTTTGCTCAATTCTAAAATGGGAAAATGATGATAATAGTGCCTTAAATCATTATTATAAATATGAATGCAATGTGTATTAATGTGTCCAGTGAATCTGAACCTGGCAGTAACATTTGTTTAATACATAACAGCCTAGTTCTCTCCCCTTTTGCAGCTTTATAAACATTTGAAGTCAGCAGTCACAGTGTGTGCATTCTCCACCCACTCTTTATTCATGTCCCATTCATCTCCATAGGCTCTTATCTAAACATCCTCCAGTACCTCTGAAAATGTGGCACCTAGAACTGAATCCAATATTCCAAGTATAAAGAGAGGAGTAGAGAAGTACAATTTTATGCATTCTAATGATGATATTTCAAAATTCAGTTTGATACCACATTATTTTTCTACCATCCCATACTGTTCATAAATAGCATGTCATTGCCAACTAAAAACAAGCAAAAATTACCCCCAAATCTTTTTTAAGTCTTTAACATATAGACAGCTATAAAGCCATATCTTCTTCAACCTGTATTTTGCAATTTGAGTTTGGAATCAGTGCAGATCTTTGCATTTATTCCTCTTAAATATCACTTTGGAAGTTATGTACAGAAGCCCCTGCCAACTAGAAATCAATGTGAAATGAGAGTAACGTTTTAAAAACATTAAAGGGTGGGGAAAAAGAATCCAAAGGCTCATTTTGGAGAAGAAAAAAAAAAAAGAATCCAAAGGCACATCAAGCAACACGTTTCTAAATTTTTTATTTCTCCTCTACTATTTCTCTTAGATTAATTAATTAATTAATTTTTTTTTTTTTGAGATGGAGTCACCCAGGCTGGAGTGCAGTGGCATGATCTTAGCTCACTGCAACCTCCGCTTCCCAAGTTCAAGCAATCCTCCTGCCTCAGCCTCCCAAGTAGCTGGGTCTATAAGCACATGCCACCATGCCCAGCTAATTTTTGTATTTTTAGTAGAGATGGGGTTTCACCATGTTGGCCAGGCTGGGCTCAAACTCTTGACCTTGTGATCCACCTGCCTCAGCTTCCCAAAGTGCTGGGATTACAGGCATGAACCACCGCTCCTGGCTTAATTTATTTATTTTTAAGAGATGAGGTCTTTCTGTATTGACAAGGCTGGTCTCAAGTTCTTAATCTCGTGGCCTTAAGCGATCCTCCCTCTCAAGTAGCTGGGACTACAGGAGTGAGCTACCAGACCAGCAGGCTTTTTTTTTTTTAAGCCACATTTAAATGTCATCCAAAATTATGTAACTTCCCATACTCATCTTGTTTTAGTCATATTATAAATTAATAGTGAAAACGCCTACTATGAGCATGTTCCATATATTGTTCACTTGAACCACTGAAGAATTCCCAGTCTGTCTCAGGCAAACTGGTATTGTTACTGCAAATTTCCTGAAGCTCAGATGGGTTAGGTAATTTGCTGAACAGTCATCCTGCACCAAAGTTGGCCTGGAGAAACTGCCCCTCCTCCAGCCCTTGCTGAATGGTGGCCCTAGGCAATACTCTTTTGTACTGTGTGAAATCCCTGAATCACTGTTGATTGCCCCTGAGTGCGCACTGACCTAGACACAGACAACTCATACCCATTCAAAAAATGACCCGGGGGGAAAAAAATCAGTCCTAAAATACCCTGATCCAATCAGGCAATCAATTGGGGAAGCTAAAATCCAGGAGTCACAGAGGTTGTCTACGGGCACAAAGGGCCCGGACAGATCACCAGGGAGCAGAAGCTAATATCTACCAAATAATGGCTAAGCAGCAGATATCCATTCACCTATTCATTCAACAAGTATTGATTAAGCATCTCCTGTGTTTTAGGTACTGGGGACACAGTTTGTACAAAATACATAAAAATTCTGCCTTGAATCTTACATTCTGGTGGATGGAACTGACAATAAACACAAATAAGTAAATCAAATCATATACTAGAAGGTGATAAGTGCTGAATAAAAATAATGCAGGAAGCAGGGGGATGGGGTACAATTTTTACTATTAGGGAAGGTCTCACTAAGAAGGTGAAGTTGCAGCTAAGGCTTGAAGGATCCAAGGCAATGAGGTTGTGGAAAAAAAAGGTAGGGGAGAAGCTGAGAGAGTCAGCTAGCAGCTGGCTCATCACGCAGCAGGCACCAAAATAAGGAACCACACATCAAACTACACAGAACAGCACATTCACAATCTAGCTAGGAGCTTTTCCCCCAGGTCAACTAGACCAGAACCTTTGTAGATGGGACCTCAAAAGTCTGCATTTTAAGTACTCCTCAGATGATTGGGACATTCCACCAGAATGAGAACCCCTGCTCTTAAGACTACAAACTTCCTCTGATGCCTTGGATTCTAAACACCCTTTAAATTCTGTCTTCCAGAATGCGCAATTTAATTGCATTCCTCTCCTCTTGGGTCTATATTAGTCCATTCTCACACTGCTATACAATAATACCTGAGACCGGGTAATTTATAAACAAAGGAGGCTTAATTGACTCACAGTTCCACATGGCTGTGGAGGCCTCAGGAAACTTATATACTCACTGTGGAAGGGGAAGCAGACACATCTTACATGGTGGCAGGCAAGAGAATAGTGAGTGTGTGTGAGCACAGGAAAGCCTACAATTTACAAAACCATTAAGTCTTGTGCATTTACTCACTATCACAGAACAGCATGGGGGAACCACCCTTATAGTCCAATCACTTCCCTCCCTCAACACATGGAGATTACAATTCGAAATGAGATTTGGGTGGGGACACAGAGCCAAGCCATATCAGGGTCCTTCATTGTTCATCTT